CCCCCCCCCCCCCCCCCCCTTCATCCCCTTCTTTGAGGATATTTTCTTTCTTCTCCGATTATTTTTTATTGCCCCCTTGTTTTTTTTCCTGGCTTTTTGATTTCCTTTTGGACCATTTGCCTCCCCTTCTCTATTTGCCCCATTCTTGGGGGGGTTTTTTTGCACTCCCACCCCATCCACCCTCCCCCCCAGTTCCCAGGGGGCATTGGCCCCCCATCTCCTTGGGGGCGGTTGAGTGGAAGCAGGGCAATAAAGGCTGCACGCTGGTACCTGCTGCCTCCCCCCGCTGCTTCCTAGGGCCCCCAGCGCAGCCCAGCGAGGGACTGGGAGCACTGGGTGGGATGGGGGAGCTCTCTGATGGCTGCTGTGGGGTTGGGCACCGGTGGGACGATGACGCCTGGTCACTGTGCCACCAGCTGCTCCGTTTTCATGTTAGAAAGCAACGATTTGAGGCAAAAAATGCAAGGTGCTGGATGGGCACGGGGGGCTGCAGCCCCGTTTTGGGGTGAAATCTCCCCTTGTCGGTGCACCACACCAACTGCAAGGGCTTTTCTGTGGAGTGGGGAACCCTCTGCATTCATCCCGCCCCCAGCGGATGGAAATTTGGGCTGTGATTCCTGTTTTCCTCTGCTGGCGAGTGGAGCAGAAAAGGAAGATTTTTGATGAAAAGGGAAACGGCGGTGATTTACTTCCTTGTTTTATTTTAATTTTTTTTTTCCCAGAAATGGCCACTTTTTGGTGTTTTGGGGGTGAGGGGAGCAGCTTTGGTGCCCCCAGCACCTCTTGGCAGTTTTGTGTTGGCCTGAAGCTGTTCTTGGAGCGCCAGCAATGCGTTTTTTTTCCCACTTGGATAAGAAAAATGTGTTGGTTTTTGTGCAGAAAGCAGAGAATTTCCCAATTTCCCAGTCATGGCCACCCCCCCTTTTATTTGTATTTATTTGCACTTCTCTCCTTCTTCAGACTTTGGCCCTTTTCCTGGGTTCCTGGCTGCGCGCAGCCAACTGTTCTGCTTTACAAGTGACCCAAAAAAGGAACCTAAAAGACCCCCAGATAACAGGGTTTACGTTGTGGTGAGGATTGCAGGTGGGAACAGAGACAAGGTAGGAGAGGCTTTGGGGGTTTGCACCGAGCCTGGTGGGTGAAGAGCTCAGCAGAACCCAAAAACAGTCGGCTTCAGACCCAAAACTGTTGCTTTTAGCCCCAAAAATGGGGAGCTTTGTGGAGCTGAGTGAGGATGGGGTTGTTTGAGCCGTTGGGGTTGGTGTGATGGGATGGGGAAGTGCGTCCATGGGTGTGTTGAAATAAATGTTTCTTTATTAAAATATATATATATATATATATATGAATTTTATATTTGTTTTAAATGTTTTTTTTTTTTCTATGCTTTAAGTATTTCCATGCATTTATGTACAAATATGTGTGTATTTCAATCACAGTCTGTAGTTGGCCGGGCAGGATGCTCACTATCAAGGTATGACTCTTTGTGGGGCAAATTTTGGTCATTTTTTGGGGGGCAGGGGGGGGATTTTGAATCGTTTCAAAGAAATTAGCTGCCAGCAAGTCATCACTGACAAAAATTAATAATTATCTTTCTGTTTTTGGAGGGTGGCTGTTGCTCTGTTGTGCCTCCCAGCCTTCCTCCCGGCTGGTTAACCATTAAACACGGGGTGGGGAGGATTTTATCTCCAAAAATGGGTGGCGAAAGGTCGTGTGACGGGTTATGATGGTGACCTGGTGGGTGTCACCAATGGGAACGTCCTCCTCGAGTGACACCTGACCTCGTCTTCCCCACAGCTCTTCCTCACGGCCGCCCTCCTCTTCCTCACCCGCAGCCGGGCTGATGGAGCTCCTGGGTCGCCGATGGGAAGGAAGCTCCTCCAGCACTCTGGTGAGTCTCTCTCTCTCGTCCATCCTGACGTCGTGAAGATCTCCGTTTTCGGGATCTCTCCCCAAAAATCCACGGAGGGCCGCTGGGAGTCTCCCTGAAAGTCTCCTCTTAGCGTTTCGGACGGCGCCCATGGAAGTAGAGTTTGAGTTCTGGGTGGTGTAGAGCTGAGAATTGGACTCGATGGTCCCTTCCATTTCAGGATATCCCTCGACCCCGCGATCCTTCGATTCCGTGATTCTAGGATGCTTTTTCTATCATTCCTTGATTCCCTCATTCTTCTGTGATTCTCTGACCCCACGACCCTGTGATTCTTTCGTCGATTCCACACCCCCACAAATCCATCATCCTCTGATTCCCCGTGATCGTTTTCTTGCTTGCTCCGCCAGCGAGGAAATTTTGCAGACTCCAGAAGCTGTGGAGGGATGGAGGCATCTCAAATACCTCTTCCCATGTGGCCAAAACAGCCTGTTTTTCCCTACAGCTTCCAGCTGGACTGGTTTTCAGAGGGCGGAAGGCAAGGAATTGCCTTCCTGGCTGTCATGGGAGCCTTTTGGTGGTCAGTTGCCAGCCGACGCCGTGTCCAACCGCAACGCCTACACCAACGTGACAGAGTATGTCTGCTTACCCAAATCTTGGCACTGCAGCATTGGTTCCTACGTTCCCAGCCGGGGTCCGTTTTGCACTTTTGCCTTTGGAGGATTGGTGCACGACTCCAGCGAGTTCATGGTGTTGGTCAACAAAGGGAGGTTGGAGGCGCTGCGGTGGGTGGACGATTCGTTCGGTGACGTGCCTGAGAACGCCGTGGAGGGCTGCGAGTCGTCTGACATCTACGTGGGGAGGAACCGGTACGGCCTGGGGAAGGTCTCCAAGGAGCAGAGGGCTTTATTTGTGGCAGTGGACGGCAAGGAGGTGTGGTTCAAGTGGTATCAAGTCTTGACGGTGAAGACGGGCCCAGCAGGCATCACCATCTCAGGTGTCCTCTACAACGTGAGCGCGGCCGCAGAGCACGGCAGAGACGTCACCGTAACGAAGACCACGGTGAAAAACGAAGGCTGCCAAGGGACGAGGCGAGTTGTCACCTTGGAAGAAGCCACCGAAGTGGAGCAGGACTGGGAGCTGGACCAGGAGATCTTCGGCAGCGTCCGCGGGGTGCTGGAAGCTGGCCTGCTGGCCTTCGACGGGACGAGCTGGGAGGCCACCAACGTCATGAATGTCACCTGGCTGGGAAAAGCCAGCGCTGGTGAGTACGTTGAACACAGCCACAGGGTCGAGCTGGAGATGCAGCCCCGTACGACGTGCACGGTAGCCATGGTGGGACGTCGGCTGGATGCCCGCATCCCATTCACTGCAGATCTCACCAGGGATTTTGGTGATGGCCAACCACACCGGGTGGAAGTCACAGGGGTGGCTCGCAGCCAGCAGGTGGTGGATGTCCGGGCTGGCGTTGAGTGGTGCTGGCCCCTTCCTGCTTCAACGCAGTGCTGAGCACAGCGGATGGTGATGGGGGGTCACCGCGTGCAGCAGGACGCCATGCAATGCATTGGGGTTTTTTTCCTCCAGTCGGTGTATTTCTGCACCGTGTCTGTTTCATTTCCCCACATCTCTCCCTAAAAAGCCACAGCAGCAGCAAAACGCACGTTTTTGCCATCTTCATCTTCTGCTTTTTCCCCCATTTACCTCCATCTCCCTCGGAATGACGCGGCAGCAACCCCAAATGCAGAAAAACGCATTTCTCCTGATGTCTGTTTTGCCTTTATTCCACAACGACCATCATCCAAGCTCCTCTCTCTGAACCAACACGGCGGCTGCGCGTCGAGAAACCTTTCTGCACCCGGATGGACGTGATCTTCCACTGCATTATGTTCTCCTTTTCTTTTCCTGCTCTGTGAAGAAGGTGCTTGCAAATCAAACAAATCTACCCGTGTGGTTTGTTGGGGTGAGACAGGAGGAGGATGATGGAGGCTTTGTCCTTGCATTGGGTCCCCTTTGGGTCCCCTTAGGACCCCCATTGGGTCTCCACTGTATTCCCGTAGGATCTCTGTTGTGTCCCCATTGCTTCCCCATTGGGTTCCCCTTGTTTTCTCATGGGATACCCGCTGTGTCCCTGCTCTGATCCCACTGCACCCCCTATAGGATCCCCGTTGGGGACGTCCCCATTGGATTTTCATTGGGGTCCCCCAACTAGTGTGGCTTTGGGGAGTCGCGAGCCACACCAGCAATGTACAGGACACCCTCGTTTTCACCCCCCCATGCCACCTAATGCACCCCTGTTTCCCTTGTCCCCCAACCATGCCACGTTCAGCAGCTTCCACTTTAATTCTTCTGAATTTTCCTCTACAATTTGCACTTGCAACCCCAAGTTCCTTGCGTTCCCGTGAGCAAGTTCTTGCTCTTGCCCCTGCAGAAAACAAACAAACAACTAAAGAAACACCAGAGGATGCAGAGACATGGGTAAAACTTTTGTTACAGCCGTGGGGAGGGGAGAAAGCGGGGTGAACCCACAGGGAGGAGGTGTGGAACCCTGGGCATGTTGAGTGGTCTGTGAGGTAGGTTGGTGCTGGAGCGTTAAGGCCTGGGGAGGAGGATGTCACACGCTGCAGGAGTGACAACGAGTAAATATCTGGGGGGAAAAAAAAACAGTGAGATTCGTCTGGAAATGCTCATTTGGAGGGGATGGGGTGTCCTGGTGGTGGAGGTGAGGGTGGGGGGTGTGGATGTGAGACCAAAGAACTCGTGGCAGACATCATCCGTCAGCCGTTCATGCATGCTGTATCTCCTCTGGGACCAGACAAGCAGATTTTGGAGCCACCCAGATCTTGAAGGGCATCAACCATCAGCCCAACTTCACCCTCGTCCATACTGAATTTCCTCTGGGAGCAAAGAATCAAATCCTGGAGCCACCAGGCCCATAGAAAGCATCAACCATCAGTTCATTGTCACCTTCATCCGTCTTGAGGGACATCAGCCATCAGCTCATCTTCAACCTCAGCTCACTTTCACCTTCATTACATCTCCGGGACAAAGGAGACCTGTTCTGGGGCTACCAGGCTCTTGGAAGAGATCAAGCATCAGCTCGTTGTCACCTTCATTCATGTTCTGTCTCCTTTGGAGCCAGGGAACAAAGTTTTGAAGCCACGGAGCCCTTAGGAGGACATAAACTATCAGCTCACCTTCAGCCTCATCCATTTTCCATCTCCCCTGGGATTTTAATCAGTCACATACCGAGTTCATGGAGAACATCAACCATCAGCTCACCTTCTGGCGGTCCCCAACCACATCACACCTCATCTGGGACCAGTGAGCTGCATCGTGCAGCCACCAGGCCCATGGGAGACATCAGGTCATCTTCACCTTCATCCATGTTGTATCTCTTCTGGATCCAGGGAATAAAGTTCTGGAGCCACTGAGTTCTTCTTAGTGGCATCAACCATCAGCTCCTCTTCACCCTCGCCCATGTTCCATCTCCTCTGGGACCAAGGAGTTGTGTCCTGGTGCTGCC